AGAATGGCAGACTACAAGAGCAGTTGTTGAGAGCCACTACGGATAAAGAACCTCAAGATTCTAAAGAACCCGGAGTAGATCCAGCTTCTCGACAAGCACCTCGAGCAAATCCATGGCGAGATCCTCTAGGAGCACTGTGGGAGGACTGGACTGGGAATACAAGTGCAGCACCTCAATCATCACCACAGGAGCAGAGAGCGGCTGAGCCACAAGTGCAGACGCAGTTACCGCAAGATCAGACGTCAGAGATGCTGGCGATGTTGACGCGCAGCATGACGCAGCTTCAGGAGATGCAGGCCAAGACGCTGCAGCGGATGTTAGATGAAGAAGCACCGGAAGCGGTTAAGTCGTCAGTGCCTGTGTTACCGCCGCTACCATCGCCTGAAGGGATCTCAACGGGCATAGTTCTGCAAGACTGGTTGGCGCAGATCGCCATTGCAATGCAGGATCTATCACCGTCGTCGGGAGCCTGGTGGACTGAGGTGATGGAGGCGGTGCAAACAACATACACGCGATGGTTGGGATCCACTCCGCTAGAGCGCCTTCAACTACAACCACTACAGTACAAAAGGCTTTCGGAGGGGAAGTGGACTCGTGTGAATGCCAGAGCATGCGCAATGTTACTACAGAGCTTGACAGAAGTGATTAAGCAGGACCTGATCGCCAGACGAGTGGTTCAGCACACAGTGCTGATAATGTTCAGGTTACACACGATGTACCAGCCAGGAGGCGCATCAGAGAAGACACTGGTCCTTGGAAACCTGCAATCACCAGTTTCGTGCGATAGCCTGGATGATGCACTGGCGTGGCTTCGCGCATGGCCGAGATGGATACAGCGATGCCAAGATCTTAGTATGATGTGTCCGGACGGGACGGTGCTGGCTAAAACGCTGACTGCTGTTACATCCAAGTTTATAGCTGAAGGAGGAGATGCTCAGTTCAGAACACAGCTGTTGAGGTCCACGCTGCGCATCGACGGGCAGCCATCCCTGGATGACGTAAAGCGCTATCATCAGCATTTGCAGGCTGAGTTAGAATCGGCAGCGGTGTCACGAACTCTTCCTCCAGCACTACTACCTCGCGTTAAGGCGATTGGAGTAGGGGCACAGCAAGAGCGCTCAACTTCGTCAGTGTCATCGCCTACGTCACAAAGTAAGACTCCGTGCAAGTACTTCTTTAAGGCCTCGGGCTGCAGAAGAGGGCAGAAGTGTCCGTATGGACATGACATGTCCAACCTCACAAAGCAGGACAGATCTAAGAAGTGCTTGAGCTGCGGGGCGGAAGATCATCGGCAGCGAGATTGCCCTACAAAGGTGAGCAGGCCGGGACAGCGGTCTACGGGGTCCAGCGACCATGGCGGGGGAGCAGCGTCTACAGTGTCGAGCCCTACGGCGCCAAGAGTGCAAAGAGCGGAGCCTGAAGGGGAGGCTTCACCATCAGCTTCAGGAGGAGTTGTGGCGGCCGAGCCGGTGTGGACTCTGGAAACACTGCTGCAGGCAGCGGCCAAGGTGGCTGGTGCAAAGGCCGCTCCGACGAGCCCGTCTCTCAATGTGATTTCCCTCAGGGCTCATCGCCCGTTGTCTGGAGGCTTGCAAACGTATGCCTTAGTGGACTCTGGTGCAACTCATGCGTTGAGGAGAGCAGCTTCGGAAGATGAGTGGAGCGCATCGCACCCGGTTGTTGTGAACCTGGCAGGTGGGGAATCAATATCACTCAGAATGAATGACGCGGGGACTATCTTGGTTCCTTCAACGGCGAGTGATGCCGGGGGAGGGGCTCCAATAGTACCTCTCGGGGCTCTGGTGGGACAGCTGGGCTACACTATGACCTGGAGTGGCACTAAGTGTCGACTAGAAGGACGACAAGGAGAATGCTTCAATCTTCGAGTGCGTGATGGCTGTCCAGAGATCGCTGAGCATGACGCGCTACAATTAATAGCCAAACTCGAGGACAGCAACCTGGAAGAGCTGAAGAGCAATATTAAGCGCACGAGACAAAAAGTGAGAACAGCTGCAATGATGATGGAGAGGAACTGGTTTGACTATCTCCAGAACTATGCGCAGGGCGGCATTGCTACAGAAGCACTTAAAGCCATAGAAGCAGCACCTTTCTTTCGTGATCTACCACAACCGTGCTTGGAGGGGTTTGTCGATGCGGTTCCAGAGCAAAATGGGTGGGAAGTTCTGAAGGGCCTACAGCATTTGAACCGCAGAACTCGCAAGCGACTGTGGAGCTCAGACAAATGGGTGGTTCATCTATTCGCGGGAGAAAGAGAAAAGCGGGAGCTACTTCACCTGGAAGCGCATGGCTACACCATCTTAGAGCTGGATATCGAGAGGGGAAAGACCCAGGACATACTGAGGCCAGCTACGTGGAGGGTATTAGAGCATGCTGCGAGAAAAGGGAAGATATCTGCAATCATTGGTGGCCCACCCCAGGGGTCATTCATGATCTCCCGGTACAACCTTGGAGGACCACCTCAGCTTCGCACTAACGAATATACCCATATGGTAACTGGGATGGTCAACTACAGGAAGATGTTCGGGAGGTCAATAAGCAGACGCAGCTCATCGCCAGGATGATCTACCTGCATGCATTGGCCACAGCTGGGAGGATTACGCATCCCAAAGATCCAACATATCAGAGAGAGGTGGGTTTCCTGCTAGAGCATCCTCGAGATCCCCGGGGGTATTTGAAGTATGGAGATCCTCTATATCCGGGAGTAGTAAGTTTGTGGAGAATGTCATTGTGGACGGAGTATGCATTGGAGGCAGGAATGCACACTTACAGCTTTGACATGGCAGCACTGGGAAAGGTGTATACGAGACACACGACATGCGGTACCAACCTACCTCTACGACACCTGGATAGACTCAGGTCGCGACTGTACTCAGATGGTCCAGTGCCAGAAAGGGCACCTGCGTGTGTTTGGCCGGCAGAATTCCTGGAGCATGTCACAATCGCATTGAGAAACTGGGGAACGGTACCGCGAATGGTAAGGATGAGCGCTGAGCAGTGGAAGGACCATGTGAGAAGGGGCCATTTACCGTACAGAGCCGACTGCGCAGTATGTGTACAAGCGGGTGGAACAGGTCGTCGTCACGCCCGCCTTGAGCACCCTGCAGCATTTGTTCTATCTTCGGATTTATCTGGTCCAGTGAAGGTGGGTGGTTCAGATCCCGATGCTCGAGGTGCCTTCCCAAAGCAGTTCAAGTATATCTTCGTGGCTAAGTTGCGAGTCCCAAAATCGTTTGTGGAGGACGGCCGAGGGACCTGGGTTGAATATGACGATGGAGAACTGGGCGAAGAAGATTACAAGGATGAAGATGATGGTCTCGCGTCTGAACATGGAGAACAAGTTGAAAGGGAAGGCATAGAACCCAAGGAAGTGGTACCTGACAGAGGGGAAGCTGAAGCTGAGGAGGATGATGATGTCCGCAAGAAACTTGACCCCGAAGAGGACATTGACTTGGCGCCCCCGGAGTTGGTCAACTTGATCTTCGCTACCGGAATCCGAGACGAAAAGGCAGCTACAGTTCTGGAAGCAACACAGGACGTGGTATTGTACTGTCAAGCGCTGAATATACCAGTCCTACGATTTCACTCGGATCGAGGTATGGAGTTTCAGGCGAGAGCAACAAAGCAATGGTTGAAATCGCAAGGTATTCGAGTGATGACCTCAGAAGCTGGAGTCCATCAAACCAATGGGGCTGCGGAGTCTACCGTACGATGGATAAAGCAGAGGGCGCGCGCACTACTATTATCAGCCAAGCTACCACAACATTTATGGTCCACCGCAGTTACAACGGCAGCTACAATGCAGAGAGGAGATGTATTGGGGTTTGAGCCAAAGCTAGCTGCTCCTTATGGGGCCAAGGTTATGGTAAGGAAAAGACAATTGGAAGGGCCCAAGCTGGACGATTTGACACCAAAGTGGGTACATGGGTACTATGTTGGGCGGTCAGAAAGCTTGAGTAAAGGACATTTGGTATTCGTTCAGGAGGAGGATAGTGGACGCTTTATCCATACTCTTCATGTTCGAGCCGGATTACATGATCCTGGTCCAGTAGAAGCGGATGTTGATGCTGATGAGCCAGCGGGACCTAGCAGAAGAGTTCGTGGGAAATCCGCAGGTTCAGGAGATGTGGTCGCGTTGTCAAAGGCTGTGATCCTCGATGATGCGGACTACAAAAGGCGAGCGGAGCAGTTGATGACGACGTGGTCACAGGAGGAGGCTAAGGTGTTGATCAAGGAAGTTTGTCAGCAGTTACCAGCTTCAGAAAACGTATATGGAATGTTCAGGTATGGTGGGAAAGCAGGTGTAACCCGCGCTACATTGGAGAGACCCTGGTTCACTGCAGTCCTGTTGAAAATGCTAAAGGACAAAGTGCCAGACGCAGAGTTCGCATCCATCTACGTTTCCGTCAACAATCAGCGAGAAGTTCACATCGACCGGAATAACGCCATGGGCACCATAAACTACATATTGCCACTGACTATGCCGCGTCGCGGGGGTGAAATATGGCAAGAACTACGTGATGGAGATGTTGTATCCGGTCGAGTAACTGAACTTACTTCGCAGGATGGAAAGACGAGGTATGGTTGCGCTTATCCATTGCAAGCTGGGGAGATCTTCTGCTTGAACCCACATCGAAGACACGCCGTACTACCTTCTTCTGGAGATCGCCTGGTGTTGGTGGGTTATACTCCAGGAATGCTTCAGAACCTACAGCGCACAGACAGAGCACTGTTGTGGAAGTTGGGTTTCCCTATGCCACTACGGGATGATGAGGAAGGTGGTGATGTAAGAGTCAGCATGCTGAGTGTGCGAGATCTTCATGGCAGGACGGAGGACAAGGGCATCATCGTGGAGGATGTTGGATATCCACGGGATCCTGGGAGGAGCAAAGCTGCATCTACTACTAGCAGTACGGCGAGTGAAAGTAATCCAGGAATACCCAGTGAAGATTGGTTGTCATGGGAGCTTTACTTGAGCCTGGATGGAGTTGATTCAGGAGCTGCTTTGGTGGGTACAGATTCTTGGGATGAAGTGGTGCTACGCAAGGCAGAAGTGGGGTTCACTGAGAATGTGGAAGATATCCTGAATGCCTTGAATAGCCCGCTAAACATTGTGCACACGGTGAATCCCAAGGAGGTTGTGCAGTATTTTGATGAGTGGATACCGTCCCTGAACAAGGAGATTGCGTCGCTGGAGCATGCAGTTGAAAAGGTCCATAGTAGTGATCAGCAAGTCTGCAAAGACCTCGAGGCTGGCCAGGGGCAAGTTATTCCTATGAAAGTGGTTTTTACAGTTAAACCGCCGGACATGCCAGCGGACGGGAGTGTGCCAGAGAGGTGGTACAAGAGAAAATCGAGAATCGTGATATGCGGAAATTTGGCGTCGCACCAACCTGGGGAAGTCTACACGAACACAGCTCCGGCAGAGGTGGTGCGAGCAGCAATCGCCATAGCCCGCATGTTCAATTGGGATTTGGGCATCATAGATGTCGTGGCCGCCTTTTTACAGACGCCCCTGGAAGGGTTGAAAGGCGCACCTCTCGTGTATGGCATTCCCCCTAAACTCTTGGTGAAGGCTGGACTATGCAAGCCTGGGGAATTGTGGAAGCTAACTCATGCAGTATATGGGCTACAGGAGTCACCAAAGCTATGGGGTATGTACAGAGATATTCGATTGGCGCAAATACAACTGGTCTTTGAGGGCAAGAAGGTGGTGCTCATGCAAGGAAGGGTGGAACCTTCGTGGTGGTCAATTCTACAAGAAGGCTCTCAGTTGATTGGAATATTGGTGGTGTACGTCGATGATATTTTACTGTGTGGAAGGCCTGAGCTGATCAAGGAGATTGCGTCCGCCATCAGAGAGGTATGGAAGACGAGTGATCTACAGCTGGTGTCTGAAGGGGCAATAAGATTCCTGGGCATCGAGATATCTATGTGCACACAAGGCTTTGCTTTGACGCAAAAATCGTACATAGAGGAGTTGGTCAGACTACATCAGGTTCCACCAACGCGTCGTGACCTTATTCCGATCTCGAAGGACTTGGCGAACTTCAGTGTGGAGGAGCACGAGGGGGTCTACACGGAGCAGGAGCTGCGAAAGGCTCAGCAGTGCGCAGGGGAATTACTGTGGATATCCCAGCGCACCCGTCCAGATTTGAGTTATGTAGCATCCCTAGTAGGGTCTCTTTCTACTCGGGCGCCGAGACGAGCCACACAGATAGCAGAGAAGGCTATCGCGTTTCTGCAGAGGACGATGAGCTATGCCTTAGTATACTCAGGCGACAACTCTGGCCTGGTGGGATACTGCGATGCCAGCTTTGCTCCAGATGGGAGCCGCAGTCATTCGGCGTGGTTGGTGCTTTTGAACGACTGCGTTATCTCATGGAGATCAGGGAGACAGAGCACAATAACATTGAGCACCGCGGAATCGGAGCTTACAGCTATGTCAGAGGTGGTCCTGGCATTACAAAGTGTGGATTCAATGCTTCGAGATGTTCTACCCGGAGGCCAGAAGTTACAGCTATACTCAGACTCAACGTCGGCGCTAGCTATCGCAAATGGTAGTGGAAGCTGGAGAACAAGACATCTACGCCTTCGGAGTGCCTGGGTTTCAGAACTGATAGCAAATCAAGCAATAACAGTGCATCACTGCATTGGAGAAGTGCAGCCAGCGGACCTACTTACCAAAGCGTTGGCTTCACAAAGAATGAGGTCGCTATCCAAACTGATCAACCTCTACGATCCTGAAGACGATGAGGGTGGCGGTGACGTCAGCGGCAGCAGCAGCATCAACATCAGCAGCATTAACGCCGGCAGCAGCGCAGCCTGTGCCCCTAAAGAAATCCCTAAGGGTTTAATAGCACTCCTAGTTCTGTCGCAAGCCGTGACTGGAAGCGCCTACAACTGGGAGGAAGAGGAGGCAGTGGTTGTGAAGACAGCACTGGCTGTTGACTATGGGATGCTAACGTGGGCGTTCCTTTGGGCGACAGTCGTGGTGTTCTTGATCACTTGGGAGCTGTTGAAATGGTTGATGTGGCTAGCTTATGACAAGGTTGTTCCTGGAGCGAGTTCTAGGCGGATGAGAAGACTGCAGAAGCTGCGTAGTGCGACTACCGAGGCAATACAGAGGGAGATTCAAGCCAGGAGTGGAACCCGGAGTGAGCAAAGGGCTCACGACGCAAATGTTCTGCCCCCTGCCCAGAAGCTGGATCCTCCTCGGGCAAAGCCAGACGCGTTGCCCAAGCCGGAAGTCGATGCGAACGCAGAAGAGCGGATCCAACTTCTCAGAAGGTTGACTCAGGGAACAAAGGAGACTAGAGAGTGCGGTGTGCAGTCTGGAGTGTTTACTCCGTGTGGGCCGGCTCCAGAGACAAGAGTCATCCTTCGTTATGTCCACGAACCACCAGGAGAAACCTTCTTTGTGCCAGGGAACGAATGCTACCACGTCTATGGAGATTGCCATGCCTTTCGACACAGAGGAACTGCAGACCGCGTAGAGAAGCGCAGAATCTGTCAGTACTGTGTCAACCGAGCTCAAGATGACCCAGACAAAAGTGCAGACTATGGAAGAGATTTAGAGCGGGCTAGGGAGTACGAGCGGGTTTTCAACTCTCAGCTGCGAGTGTCGGGACAGAGCGTGGCGTCGGCTTCGAGTGATGCAGCCTAGCGGCAGCATCAAGGAGGAGTGATGATGTGGAGCTGTGTGCATGTGCTAGCTGAACGCTAGATTTGAATGCAGAGCAAATTGTTTTGCGGTCACGGTTCAAGGTAAGGAATGTCTAAGACATGTTCGCGGAGG